CGAATACATGTTTTAAAAAAAGACAAGATTCGCAAATACTCAAACATCGGGCATCCGAGTATATCTTTCAAACCTACTCTCATCTTCAAATGTTTCCACAGGCAAAATGTCAAAGGCCTCGCATGGCGCTGCGATTCTAGAGTGTCTCTAAGTCACAGGTCCCAGTGTGGGACGTGGAGACTGGTCAGTCGAACGAGACCGTAAATACGTAGGTCCAGTGTCGCAGTATAGAAGTTGGTATGAAAAATATTCCTTACTGATGCTTAATGATCATTGGCCTTAAGTGCCGAGTGAAAGTCTAAAGAAACTGGGGGGATATGCCGAGCCATATGCCTACATAACGATCGATAAAAAATCAAAAAATTCATTTTACAAAAATTTCACTTTTTGTTGAATTAATGTAATGCTTATTACCATTTGCATATAAATTTGACAAAACCTGAATACTGTAACAGCGAAAATGATTCTGATTAACACAACAAAATGGCATCACGCTCAATTTTCACAGAAACTGACATAAATTGGATGATATAACTACATTTTTTAAATAGAGTGGGTCATCGTACCATTTTTTTGAGGACGATTAATGAGAGGCAATGGAAAGATGTCGCTTTTTACACTTGCAAAAATTTGGTATGAAGACCCACTCTACATAAAAAATTAAGTTAACTTACTTAAATTTTCACCGTGGTCTTAAAAAATTCTAAGTCCAAAAACGCTTGCTAAATATAGAGAACTGTTTGCTATTTAAATGGAAATGTTAGTGTGAATCCGTGGTCTAGTGGTTAGCGATGAGCTCTTTAAAGGGACGTTTATTGAGGAAAGTGTTCGAGTCATACTCTGATTTTTTTTTTTTATTTTGTTTTACTTTATAAAAAAATGTCTATAGGAATAACATATTTTTCACTGGAAATAAAATATATACATGTAGTAATGAACTTATTTACAGTAAATTATTTAAAATGCCGGATAAAAATTATAACAGATATTTGAATATTTTTATTCCCGTTTTATTTATTTTAAATAAAAGCGCTTCTAGATCACCATTATCATTATATACGAAGTTAACATTTTTATAATATCTCCACAATAAGTGTAAACATTCAATATGCAGATTAATTAATAGAAGTCCTTACCCATGTTAGACATTTGTGACAGTAAATGAAAGTCAACTGTTTAGCTTGTTTAGAATATAAATATCATTTTGATAACTACGGTAAACATTAAAATGCTTAAGTAAATTCGAACAATTGAGAGATTTTTTCCAATAAATGTTCTTGCATAGCCGAAAAATGGGCATGGGCACATGGCTCGTCTTATCCCCCCAGATTCTTTGGAGCCCTCTACCAGGCAGATGTTCAATTGTTGTCGGCCCAACAATTTTTAAAGGGATTTTAAAGCAAAGAAACAACCCTATTTCCAAGGGCATAACTACAGAAAAATGCACTGGACGTTTCAGGAGGGTGCCATAAGCCAATTTTAAAGATTTCAACACTATTTGGAAAGAGTGTACATGTATGAACAATATTTAATTCAACCAAACAATATCCAAAAATGATTAAAATGTCACGTATCTAATGTTACAGTCACAGAGTTTAACCCATAAATAAAAGGAATGAAGAAACGACATCTAAATTATATTTATCAAAATGAAATAATTATACAAAGACATATTTCAAACTCCTTTGGACCCATATAGTATAAATAGATCATACATGAACTGTATATTAGATCAAAACAAATGAAATGTAGTGTAATTTATTGAAATGTACCCTTTATACACAAGGTGGGTCCCTCATCTGCTCATGAGGCAAGCTTTGCCATGCATAATACGTACGTTAATTTTAGAAGACACATTTGTAAATAATATCGAAACACTCCTTAGCCATTTCATTCACGAAATGATTCATGAGTGTATGATTCTAATAGGTTAAAGATACATGTATATAATGAGATTGATACGTTGCCTTGTTTTATAACACGAACAAACCTTCTGTAAGCACATGTTGTGGGCGCCAAATCAGGGTAGATCAAAAGCCGCCGTTTTGATGAAAACAGATTGTGATGAAATTGTATTTTATACAGTTGATAAACAATAAAAAAATATTTGAATAATCTTATTAAAAAAACTTTTCAGTCGGCGCGATTTAAGTGGGTCGGTCGCGTTAGGGGAAACAAAGGTATTTTTTATTTTGGCCTTGATTTTACTGGGGGGGGGGGGGGCTGTGTTTTGGCTTTTTCCTGCTTTTTTTTTCTCTTGTTCAAGATTTGTCTTCGAGCTTGATCCACGTTGAAGCTGACTGACTCGATCCTGGCTTATTGGATGAAACGAACAGCTGCTTTACTTTTTTAGTTGTTGGCGAATGCAGAATGTTATGGGTTTTTTTTAAATATCGGTGTCATATTTTAGGCTGCTCTACATATACATCACCTTGATATTTTTGCCGTAAGGTTCTAATTAACTCGTCTCGTATCTATCAGCTTTTAACGATTCAAGTTTTGTTTTGATGTCGTGTTCTAGTTTCGACAGCTTGTTAGGTTTATTCCAACACATACCGCAAACAAAGTTGTCCCTCTCGTCATTCGGGCGTGGAACATAATAAAGAATTTCTAGGAGCTGGTCAAAAACTCCGAAAGTTTCCCCAAATATAGTTCGTCATTGGTTTTTTGGGGGCAGATTTCCGTGGCAAAGACGACAGCACAGGTTGACAACGAGCGCCGCCATTACTCGAAACAAACGTATTTGTTTGGAGCAATTTGATTGGATGCCCTGGAACGTTAAAGCGCGAGGATTTGAAAGCTTAGAAACTTAGCTAAATCTGCCAAGGGGTAGTTGGACACTTGGCTAGCGAAGATGAGGCTCCATTAAAGGAGAATGTACGAGGCACTCTAGAAATACTAGTGACCCATCAACCCTTAAAACAATTGTACAGGATTCCAGGGGACATCTCTCAAAGAGAGGCTATTCTGACGAAGAAATTAACCAAATAGTTGAAGAAACAACACAAAAAGAAAGACAACTCTTTTTAAGAAATAGAGAAAAAACAAAGCTTAACTATCCACACGCCATTGTTAAAAAATTTAACCCTCGCGTCAAATTATTAAAAAAGCGTATTTTAAAGTACTGGAATATATAAAAAGCAGACCAAACATGTATAGACTTATTCAAATCGGAACCTATCATTGCGTATATAGTAAGCATAAAAAGATAGGAGATCTATTGATAAAATCAAGTTTACAATAAATATGGAATCTCTTAAATGGGACCCCTAATGAGGCATATTCTGTCGCCGAAACACTCTACAACTACCATTATAATCTGAAAATTAAATGAATATTACTTGTAAGATGAAATTTGATTATAATTTTACCAAATCAACTTAGTACTGAGGGATCAAATGAAACTGCTTAAAGATCACGTGATGGTCAGTATTCAGAGATCCTTGAAGTATTGATATAATTTTAATAGCAATATACATTTTCGCTAAATCTAGATGATTTCCAGCATCCCATATACAACGGGTGGGTATGGGATGGGCATTTGATCCCTCGGTACTAAGATGATTTGGTAAAATTACAATCAAATTTCATCTTACAAATAATATTCATTTAATTTTCAAATTTTACCAAATCAACCGTACTGAGGGAATCATTGAGATTTTAGAGACATTACTTCAAAGGATTCATAATGTACTATGTATATTAAAAAGAAATGCAAACAGTTCACTTTTATTCTAGTTGTACATAACATGAACATGTATATTTAACATTATGACATCTACATTCTAAACATAAGCAACACATTTTGATTTCATAACTGAGTATTTTTGTAAAATAGTACTTCCTATATTCACTTTTTCCTCACTACATGGTTTATTATAAAACTTTCGAAATGTGCAATCTGATTTCCACCCCGTTACATAGTAAGAATAATCTAACTGTGTCTCGGGACAAGCCCTCACCACAGTTAGAATTAATACGTCCCATATACTTGCAATGTAGCATATCGGAGTCGATCCACTCCGAAATGATTTTGAAGAATACAAAAGGAGTTACACTGAAAATAACTACCAAATTAATCATAACAAACCTTTCTGAGATTGTATATGCCTTTTAACCTAAAAAATAATCCATATGAATACGAAAATTCAACTCATTTTCTCAACGTTTTTCCTCTCTTCAAATTTAACGCCATGTTGACATTCAGAACTCTCTGGATTGTTCATAGAAAATGCACAGAGTTCGAGTTATCGCCCGTGTTTATTTTGCAACATTGCCAATACACGGAACGAATTCTATCGTTACACCGGGTCCGTAAGAAACAATATCATTTTAACGATAGAACGTTCTATCTACCCGCTACATTCATAATGGGTACATTTTTGGATTTTGCAACACTCATCGATGCTGTTCTTGTGCTGTGAGCCTTAAGTATTTTTACATTACCAGAATTTTCTAAGACGGCCCTTATCCAATTGCCAATTGTCTGTTTGGAGACCTTTTGATGAGGTGCCATGGTGCTAATGAACAGCTGTAGGGTCTGGTAAAAATGACACATATGTAGTTCACCTCACCTCACCTATCATCTTCGTGCCCGCTGGCACATAAGGCCCCGATACACTTCTTCCACCTGTCTCTGTCTTTGGCTGTTGCCCTCGCTGACGCCCAACTTTTCCATCCCAGCTGTAATCTTTCTTGTCCTGTGCCTCTTCTTCAGGTTGTTTTCGGCCGGCCTACTTTCCTTTTTCCTTCTGGATGCCATGTCAGTGCGGTGGTGCAAATCCTGTTGTTCTCCATCCTCAGTACATGGCCAATCCACTTCCACTTCCTGAGAGTTATTATCTCACTCGCTCTAGTTGTCTTTGTTTTATGATGGAGTTCTTCATTTGACATTTTTTCGGGCCATCTTACTCTCAGGATTTTTCTCAGACATCTGTTCTGGAAGGTGTCAATCTTCTTTTTGTTTCTCTCCGTTGTTTTCCATGTCTCACTTCCATACATTAGAACTGACAGGACCAAGCTGTTGAATAACTTAACTTTTGTTTGGATGGAAAATTTTGATGAGCTCCAGATTTTTTTGAGCCTCCAAATTGAGACTTAGCTTTTCCCAGTCTGTTGTTAATGTCCTCATCAGATCCTCCCTTTGTTGTTATCACACCTCCAAGATAAGTAAATGTTTCTACATCCTCCAGGTCTTGTCCATCAATCTTGACTGGCTCTATTATGTCAGAGTTGAGTCTCATCACTTTGGTTTTCTCAATGTTTATTCTGAGTCCAGCTTGACTAGCAGTTTCATTGAGTTTTTGTGTCTTTTGTTGGATGTCCCGAAATTTTGAGGATAGTAGAGCAAGATCATCTGCGAAGTCTAGATCTTCAAGTTTTGTTGTGAAATTCCACCTTATTCCTGTTGGTTCCGTTTCTGTGGTTCTTCTCATTACAAAATCTATAACCAACAAAAACAGGAATCCAGACATTGTGCAACCCTGCTTCACTTCTGTTGTTACCCGGAACCAGTGAGATTCTTCTCCATCTTCTAGGACTGCGCATTGGAATGAATCGTATAGCAGTTTCACTGTTCTGACTAGTTTGTCTGGGATGCCATAAAACTTCATGATAGACCAAAGGCTCTCTCTATGAATGGAATCAAATGCCTTTTCAAAATCAACGTAGTTTACAAACAATGTTGAATTCCATTCGGTACATTGTTCTATGATGTTACGGAGTGTAAATAGTTGTTCTGTTGTACTCCTCCCTCTTCTAACGCCAGCTTGTTCCTCACGCAGCTGCTTTTCCACTCCATCTTGGATCCTTTGTATCACTATTCTGGAGAATACTTTGCTTGGCACAGATAAAAGTGTGTGTGTGTGTGATGTGTGTGTGTGTTAATTCACATATGTAGTTAACTGTGTATTATTTACCACATGTGGTTCGGGTCTATTGATAGGGTAGAAACTTTTGTGTAGATTGTTACATGTAATCCACCATGCTACGAGATCTCGCACTGATTCTGATATTTTAAAACTGGAATCTTAATCACCTCTGGCATATTTTAATGCTTGTTCTTTTTCATGTTCTAAGTCTTTCAGATATAGTGGTGCAAATTGGACACCTGGTTGACACGCAACCAACTTTCCTATGACTTGTGAAAAGTCTCTGATAGAAATTTCAACTTTATTAAGTACTTTTTTGCCCAAAGATACTATTTTGTCTGCTTTTTCACAAGTTACTGACACAGTCATTTTTCCTGAATTCAATAGAAATCCCAAAAATTCTATTTCCTTAGTTGGAACATTTATTGACTTCTCAGGGTGAGTTGTAAGTCTTAAGTTATCCATAAGTATTACTGTGTCTATCACGTTTTTTGTACAAGAATTATAAGAATCACCCTGAAGCAAGCAGTCATCAATAAAGCACACTAATGAATGTCCCAATTTCCTCAAGTGTGAAAGGACTGGCTTCAAAGGTTTTGTGAACAATCTTGGAGATGTAGATAATCCCATGGGTAGACAAGTAAATTGATATAATTGGTCTTTCTACATAAAGCGGAGATATTTTCTGTCTGTCCTTAATACTGAATAAAAAGCATCTTCTAGGTCAATGGAAGCAGACCAACAATCTTGTTTCATTAAGTTTATAGCTGATTTTAATGTGTCCTTCTTTCACATACAATGTAATGCCTTGTTCTCATTAGAAAGCTCTGGGCTGGGATTCATAAAACTTCTAAGATTGGTGTTAAAAGTTGCACTTAAGTACTAAAAAAATCTTAGCTAAGAAAAAATCTTAAGTATCAATTCATAAAAGTTCTAAGTACAATTCTTAGCTAAGTTTGAATTCTAAGAAAATTAGAACACTTAAGTTCAATCACCCTAGCAACGCATAGAAATTCCCGAACAAAAAAGAGCGCTCTTATGTGATGGAGGTATTTTTTGTCAAATACAGTTTATAAATAGATCTAGATACAGACGAGAGATGGCGTCCGATGAAAAACGAGAAAAAAAAAAGGAAAGCGAACTGGACACAGGATGAATGTTTGATTCTAGCCACCTTAGTAAATGAAAAGAAGCACATTCTGCGTTCCAAATTAGGGCCTAACCTTACATCTAAAATGAAAAAAGACACTTGGGAGAGGGTGACGGAGCAACTCAACGCGTCGTCAAGTACGCCGAGGACCGTCGAAGAAGTGGGAAAAAAATGGCAGAATATCTTGTCAACAGCCAAATCTGAGATTTCCTCTTACAGAAAGGAGGAAACTGCCACAGGTAACACTAATTCAAGTTATATATGATTCGACCTAATTGACGAACTTTGCAGATGTGAAGCGCAATAACATGAATAGATAGTGGTGTAGATGTACGTATGTAAAGTGCCTTGTATCATGGCTGTGGTGTTTTTCCTTTGAAGTAAAGTGTACAATGGAGATACACCTATGGGCGGAGCCAGCAAAACTGTGCCGTGTAAATAAATTATTGAACACCAAGGCGATTTCAACATTTTAAATTAGGTCTACATGTATTTTGAAGAAATACAGAATAAAATAGGCTTTGATATATACAAAGACAAAATTTCTGAAAATGAAATAAAGGTCTTTCACATTATAAATTACAGTGCACACGTATCCCAAAATACGAAATGTTTTTACAGCGTTTTTGCTCATGCCACAGCTCTCGAATATGTCAAATGATCAATGGGTATCTTTTTTTTCCTTGACTTTCAATTAACACCTGAATTTCCCTTCATCAACTTTGAATTTTTCATCCTTGAAATCCGAAGGTTTTCTTATGAATTTCATTAACAATCCGTTTTTATATTAAGTTGGAGAGCTGCAATCCGACGTTCTTTCTCATGAACACGCACATAAAATGTGCAAATTAAAAAAAATACTGGCGGGAAGGAGAGAATATCCATGCGGTCACCTGACAAAAACTAAATTTTTTTTATTGGTGTAATTAAAAGTCATGCTTGAAAATTTGGGACAGAACAGTTATTGACGTTTTGATTGGCCATGATACAAGAAAGTTATCGAATATTTATTATGGTGTATCCTGATTTATTTGGACGAAGGGGCGGAGACTCGTGCTTCGCACTCGTCACCGCCCTTCGTCCAAATAAATCAGGATACAACATAATAAATATACAATAACTTTTACTTGGCATTTGAAAATTTATATTTTTTGTAGATGTACATGCATGGCAATGTATGATTAGCTTATCAATTTCTGTATTACCACAGGCGGGGGACCTTCCTCAAAACCTCTCAGTGCTGTAGCAGAGACAGTACAAATGGTAATTGGGGAAACAAATTCTATAATAAGTGGGATAGATGGAGGCATTGACTCTTCACAGGTTCTACATCTTTTTACAGATGAAAATGTTTGGTAAATAAAAGTAATGTTCTTCCATTACCATATACTATACATTGTATAATCAATTTTAGTTTCTCAACTCGATCAGTATGCATACAGGTATGAGAAATTAAAAACTTTAAAAGGGTCTAGAAGAAAAGTGTTTCATTCTGCTTTCAGGCTAATTTAGGAATGACTCTAATTCTTGGCCAAATTATTCGAGTATAACCTGGTTTGGGTCAGTTTACGCTGTTTTATAATCCGCGAAGCGGATTATAAAACAGCGTAAACTGACCCAAACCGCGAAGCGGATTATAAAACAGCGTAAACTGACCCAAACCAGGTTATACTCGAATAATTTGGCCAAGAATTAGAGTCATTCCTTATAATTTAATTCTAAAATCATTAAACAAGTGTGGGTGTAAAATTTCGTTGCTTTTTATTAGTTCAAATTTACCGCTCAATAATACAACCCTAGTAACGGAAGTGATGGGAAGCGAGGGGAGGTAAAAACTGATACATAGTCCTAGCAGCCTTGTAAGATCCAAGTTACTGTTTAAAGTTAAAGGTACATTTATTAAATCTGGAATTTTCCATGAATCCCGAGGACTGGAAATGAGAGGATTGCATGGATACTGACGATTCAGCTGGTTGTCAGGGGGGGGGGGTGTCCCCATACCAAACCAGGTTATACAGAAATAATTTGTGTTCCTTTTTGAATATTAACCAATCAGGGGCTAGAATACAAACAAAATTAAATTATAAACAAATACATGGTAATGAAGAGTAGGAAATCAATTAAGAAATATTTCCAGGACTTCTTTACAAAAACAAAACTTCTAAGTAGCACTGATGACAAAAGAAATAGTTCTTTAAAACCTTTCTTAAATTCAGATCTTCACTGAAAAAAGCAGTAAAAAACATTAGGGTCAGCGTTATAAATTAGGGTTGTTTGGGAAAGCAGAAAGAAAGATATTTTTCTTCTAGGAAATACCGGTAAATTGTGAATTGAATATAAGGTAAACAAAATTTTTAGGAGAATAAGGAATAAAATGTTTTGGAAGTCATAAACATTATCTTCAATGAACTTAAGACTTTCCTTAAAAAAAGATAAACAATGTGAATAATTATAAAAGTTGATGGTCTTTTAATTGTTTCAGTTCCATTCAGTTTTTACAAGAAGCAAGTTCCAACAATCATCAGCATGTAGCATCAGCATCAAGTAGCATTCTGCCACTATCCCCTGGTTTGTTATCACCAACTCCTACATCAACTTCGCCATTGCCTGTGGTGACACAAAAGTCACCTTTGATGCCTCGCACAACAGCACCAGTAATGTCAAGAAAGCCATCTCAAAGCAAGCAAGATTTGATTGAGGAGTTGAGTGTAAGAAGCTAAAATTAGAGATAGAATATTTCAATTTGAAAGTAAAGGCCCTCCAACGTAAATTGCAAGAGTGAGGATTGAAAATTTTGAAGTGACCTTTTACAATAAAGGAGGAATACCGAACCAAAATGTTATATAATGAATCTTTAAAGACACTATCTCTCTTTTTAATTCAGTTTTATTTCAATCTGGATTGGTTCAAATTTTAAAAATATCTTATATGTAATCAAACCATTTTAGCTCACCTGAGCTGAAAGCTCAAGTGAACTTTTCTGATCACCTGTTGTCCGTCGTCTGTCCGTCCGTCCATCTGTAAACTTTTCACATTTTCAACTTCTTCTCAAGAACCACTGGGCCAATTTTAACCAAACTTGGTACAAAGTATACTTACCTGAAAGGGAGCTTAAATTGTTAAAATAAAGGGCCAAGTCCAAGTGTGGTATTCCTTCTTAAGGATGGATTATAATTGCAGTATATAAAGAAATCTATACATACTTTTTATCTCACTTGAGCTGAAGGCTAGAGTGTTTCTGATCGAAGAGTGTCCGGCATCTGTCCGTCATTTGTAAACCTTTCACATTTTCGACTCCTTCTCAAGAACAACAAGGCCAATTCCAACCAAACTTGCAACAAAGCATCCATGGGTGAAAGGGATTCAAGTTTGTTTAAGTGAAGTGGCACACTCTCTTTCAAGTTGAGATAGTTAAGAATTTGTGAAAAATTAAAGGCATCTTTTTGAAATTTTCTTCTCAAGAACCATTGGGCCATAAAAGAATAAGAAGAAAAAAGACTTCATTGAAGGTTTCATTTCATAGTGTAGATTCAAGTTTGTTCAAATCATGCCTCATCCCTAGCCCCCTTTTTTTGAAAAGGGGGGGGGGGGT